GGGGGGGGGTACTTTATGTGCTCCCTGAGAGCACATGCTTTGGCCCTGGGGGTTTTTTCGAGGTGATGTATCTGTGAGCACACCCCTCCCCCCCATTTTGAGCCCTAGTCAGTCCAGGTCACTCCACATGTCACTCCCATAGCAGAGACAGACGGTCTCTCCTGCGGTTGGCCGGGTTTGCCGGATCGCAGCACGCTGACATCTTGCAGGGCGGGAGTAAGGCCGGGGTCCTCGTAGAGAGGCGGGGCCATCAGGGCTGCACACGGGCGACCGGCACTCTGCCTGCCCTCGCGTGACAAGTAACCTTCAGCTGTGGACTGCTGACTCTCTGACTGTCCTCACACATGCTGGGAAACACCCGAAAATCCCGAGCGAGTGCTCTACCACGTATGCTCAGGGGCACACACGGCTTGCACTTCCAGAAAGACCAGTTTGTTCCCCTTTAGGGTGATGGGGGGGCAACGTGTCCCAGCGTGTTACCGTGGAGATGTGCTCTTTTTGTTTCTTTTAATCTCCCATCTCACTGCATGTGACCTTTAACCAGAGAGAGACAGGGGGGGGTAGTGGAGAGGCAGGGGAGAGACGAAACTGGCAAATCTGTATGGCTGGAGGGTCACATGGTCGGGTCACATGGTGTAGCCATGGTAAAGTGACGTCACCTCGGCATATCATATGGCTGCCTCTTTTCCTCCCTTCTCATGTGTCACAGAGCAAAGCGTTGGGAGTGTGACCACATACACACACACACACACACACACACACACACAGGTTTGTAATTATATCTTTGTGGGGACTCTTCATTCATTTCTGTGGGGAAAACTCTAATCAGAACATGATGACCTTAACCCCTACCCAGCCCTAACCTTAACCATAAGTAATAAGATGTTTGGTATTTTTAGTTTTGGTCCCCACAATGTAATATACACCTAATCCACACACACACATACACAGACCTTGGAGTAAACCCAGGGTCAGAACATTGTGCACGTCCCCTGCCACCTTCCGTTCTCTCATTCTGATGTTTGGGGGTGCCTTGTCCTTGCAACAGTCGTCTAAGCGCATGCACTCCCGCCCCATCACCCAGCCCAAGGCCCCCGGCTCACTGACGCCTCTCAGAGGCTGGCTGGCCACTCATGGCGTGTGTTTGCTCCATGTTTTTCTCCTGTCATGAATCCAATTAAATTTAGCACAGAGTACCAAGGTCACATGACCAGGGCCCACAGTGGTCAGGGGTGTGTGGGCTCCACCTGCGCGGAGGGGGCTTGTGACGGAGCAGGCCACCGCCCCCCCCCAATTTAAAGGGATTCACCTGCTTGGTTTTAAGGAGGGCATGTATCTCCACAGGCACATGAAGATCCACGACAAAGACCCCAGCACGGGCCTGAACACAAGCCCCCCCTCCCCCACCAAGCGACGAAGGCCTTCTGCCAAGAGGAAGCCCAGCCTAGGTGACGAGGGTGAGCGCACGGACGAGCCCCTGCATAAAAAGGTACCCCCCCGCCCCTCAGGCCATGCCGCCCCCTCATTCCCAGGCTACCCCCTACCCTCCCTTTATCTTAACGCCACCACACCTGTCCCCAGGGTTCCGAGGAGAGCCAGGCGGGTGAGCGGGGCAAAGGCGGGGAGCTACAGCCCTGTCCCATCTGCTTCAAGAGCTTTTTGTGCAAATACGGCCTGGAGACGCACATGGAGACGCACCCTGACAGCACGCTCAGGTACGCCGGCCGGCACCACCCCACCCCCGCCCTGTGACGGCATACGGTGCACCCCGCCCCCAGCTGCAGAAGCCAATTCGCCATCCAAAGCCTCCAAGTCAGCTGACTCGTAATGCCTGCGGTGCCGGTCCATGTGTGTCTCACGGAGTCCCTGTCGGGTTGGGCCAGTCCATCTTAGAATGGAGGATGCTTTGCATCATGGGGTCTCACTCAGGCTTCCTTTTGGGAAGAGCATAAGCCTGGGTGGCGTCAACCGATACAGAACCCGACCTGATGACCCTAGGGACCAGTGCGCGTCCTGCTGGCGGCACTGATCCCATGACGGGTGTAGCGTGAGACGAGCCATGAAGAATGCGTGCTCCGGGCTCAGCCACGCAGCATGTGGGTGGGGTTGCTCCCCGCCGTTGCCTGGAGACCCCGCCGGCATCCCATAGAGGTATGCTTCAGCCAGCGGGAGCTATAATTTAATATATCCCAGCATGGCCAAGTGCTGCCACATACCAGCCCCGGGAGTTGGGGGGTTGGGGGGTGGGGGGGGGGGGGGGGTGGTGGAGGATTCGGCCCCCATGGCCGAAACCTTCAGCCTGAGTGGGAATTCTGCACTGAAAAGTCCTGCAGGTTAACGGGAAAATGCCAGGGAGCAAAGCTGCTGCCGTGTATGAGAATGTGGAGGGACTTTCCCCACTGACTGTGTGAACTGCTGAATGGGGGGGGGGGTCAAGCAGGCTATGGCACTAGGGGGGCTGAAAGAGAAGTAGAGTAAATAGGAGAGAGTGAGTGAACCTTGGGATTGGGAAGCTGGTAAGATTGGAAAATGATTTCAGCAGCAGGGGGTGCCACCTCACCACTGTTGAATATTTGAACACTGGAGTAGGAGTGAAATCCTGGGGGCAGAGAATGCCACCCAGTAAGCATTTCTCTGGGCCCCCATTTGATTGTCTTACACTTAAATGTGCATGTAACAGTCAAAACTTGTTTCCATTGAAAGTGCTGTTTATCACATCAACGGCGGGTATGTTAGGAGCTTCCATCACAGTATGCAGCATCAGGACCTGGGCTGTTAATGGACACTTAAGTGGGGTTGGGGAGGGGGGTGAGCTGGTTAATTAGATGTGACAGGAGTAGCCGAGGCACACTAATCTCTGGATGATGCATTCTGGGAGGCCTGCATACACACATACATACACGTATGTAAACACGCACATGCACATTTACATATGGTTGGGCTGTTTGTAACGGGGAGCAGTGATGTCTTTCCGGTGCTGAGTATGTTGGCCCGTCTGGGTTCTGTCCATTGAGGAGTTGGAGTTCCGCGTTCTTCTGGTTGGGAGGTAAACCCAGGGATGGAGAGGGATGAGGGGCAGCGATTAGGCTCCCTAGCACCACCAAGCCGCTGGTAGCCGGGTGTCAGCGGAGATAAAGGAGATTAGAGGTGCAGACGCCTTCCAGAAACCCTCCTAGGCAGTGCCAGGCGATAACGGCCCCACTACAGGTCACAGACAGCGCCTGCCTGCCACATCATAATCACATGGGGGTGCCCCCCCCCCTTCCATGTCTCCATCTATGCAGAAACTATGGGGGGTGGTTTGGCAGGTTAGGACACTGTGCCTATGAGCGGAAGGTTTTCGGTTCAAATCAAATGACCGGCAGAAGGAGCTCAGTGTTGGGCGCCTCAGTTGCTCCAGGGACTGTCTGACGCTGCTTCAAAATGAACATCGTTTTAGATAAAAGTGTCTGCTAAAGAAATAAAATGTTAATGTACAGACGATTCTTTGCCATGATCCTTTGGCTCCAAAGGGAAAGATAGAGATTAAAATGCACTTTAATGACCCCAGGGGGAAATTCTGGTGCATACAGCAGCAGGAATGCAGTGCACAGAAGAACATACATATAGTGCCAAAATGACAAGCTGCAAAGGCGGTACACACAGTGCAAACAAGTAAACATAGTGCAGACAGATTTAAAGAGTATTATGTGCACTTAATGAAAAGATTCCATGGGACTTTTATTGCAAGCATGCAATTACTCATTTACTCAGTGGGGCAGATTGCTGTCATAACTACAGTGACCCTGCAACGAGACCCTGGAGTCAGGCGCTATAATCCCCCTTTTGTCCCCTCCTAGGTGTGAGGTGTGCTGCATCACTTTCCGCACTCACCGAGGTCTGCTGCGTCATAACACCGTCGTTCACAAGCAGCTTCCCACCGACCCTGCCGGACGCCCCTTCATCCAGAATAATCCCTCCATCCCACTGGGTTTCAGTGACCTGGCCTTCATTGACTTCTCCTGCAGGAAATTCCCGCACATTGCCCAGGTGTGTGCCGGTCACAGTCGGATCAGTTCTGGCATGGATCTACACGTTACTGATAGCAGATATTAGTTTATGGGGGTTGGGGGGCTTGTCCACAGGAATATCGATGTTTAGTGTTGAATAAAAGCTTCTTATGTGGCATGAAATTGGTTATTGTCAGGTGAATTTAAGTGAAAGCTGTCTGCTCGCCAGGTTTGGTGTGAGACCAACCTCCGCCGGTCTACCAGCAAGTTCCATCGCTTTGTGTGTGAAACCTGCAACAGGGCCTTCCCCCTTCAGTCCGCCCTCAATCTGCACTTGGCCATTCACGAGGTTGAACATTGTGATTCAAAGGAAGCCCCACCCAGTCCTCGCAGTGAAACGCCACCAACTGCCAAGAAGGCCGGCTTCATGGAGTCACTGGGCCTGCAGCACATTTCCCAGATGAAGCCAGATCAGACGGATGAGGAGGCCCAGCAAGCCGTGCTGGATAGCATACGGGTCATCCGCGTGGAGCCGACGATGCCCAGCCTACCTCAGGAGCCCAGTGGCATTGCCCTTCCCCTGCCGGACCCGTCGTCACTCCAGGGCCTCTCCCAGGTGAGCGCCCTGAGCTTCCTTTCACTGCAGCCCTTCCAGAAGGGCTTCATTGTGCAGCCTGACAGCAGCGTGGTGGTCAGGCCCATCAGCAACGAGAACAGCGTTGAACTGGCTGATATTCAGCAGATCCTGAAGATGGCCTCCTCGGCGCCCAACCAGATCACCCTACCACCGCTCTCCAAAGCCCCGAGCAACTCCACGCAGACCAGCTGCAAGCAGATGCCTTCGCTCAAGCCAAAGCCACTGGTGGTCCCACGCACCAGCCTGGCCACTTCCACTCCGCCCCCACTCATGAACGCCCAACAGGCCTCTCCATGCTGCATCAGCCCCAGCTTGCCGCCCCCCACTAACCAGCTGCTCCAGACACTGGGGGAGTCCTCTTCCTCCTCATCTTCTCCCACCAGCGGCTACGACTGCACCCAAGAAAGAAGCGGAGAGAAGACCCAGCTCAACATGGATGCCTTGACACCCATGGAGGCAGGCAACCAGATAATGGTGTCTGAGTTGAAGGGGGTAGGTGGCAGGAAGCCGGGGCGCAAGGAAGCTTTTCCCTGCCGCTTCTGTGACCAGGTCTTTGCCTCCACCAGTGTCCTGCAGGCCCACATGCGCTTCCACATGGGTGCATCACCCTATCAGTGCCGGATCTGTGACTACGCCGCCCCCGACAAAGCCACTCTTATTCGGCACCTGCGCACGCACAGCGGCGAGCGGCCCTATGCCTGCCGCATCTGCCGTTATGCCTTCACTGTCAAGGCTAACTGTGAGCGGCACCTGCGCAAGAAGCACATGAAGAACACGCGTAAGGAGATAGAGAAGAATATTGAGTATGTGTCCGGCGACTCCCCGGACTCCATTGGTGGCGAGACGCTCTGTGGCTACTGCGGCGAGGACCTGAAGAGCTACCGGGCACTGCAGATCCACCTGCGCACGCACGGTGGCTGCCAACGCAAGCCATTCGAGTGCCGGCGGTGTGGGGCAGCCTTTCTGGCTAAGAGGAACTGCATCCACCACCTGCTGAAACAGCATCCCGAGGTACAGGAGCGAGAGATCGAGGAGCACATCTCCACTCTACTCCTCGATTCTCCTACCGCCCCATCGCCGGCTGCCCTCCCTCAGAACAGGCAGTTCCCTCAGCCAATCAAGGTAGAAGAGATCGGTTTCTATGCTGGCGACCCAGACCAGCCACTGGACTTTTCAAGTAAGGGTCGAGGAGGTACCATGGTGGGTCCTTGTGGGACGAAGCAGGAGGGGCTCCACCCGCCTCTGCCTGCCCCTTATGATACTTTCTTGGAACCTATTGACCTCTCCATCCCTAAGAATCCCGAGAAGAAGTTGAGAAGACATTACTGGTATGCCGCCTACTGGACCCCCATTGGAGATCAAGAGAGAGGAGCTGTCTCCTGGCACCAACCATGTCCGACCCCAGGATAAAGCCCTGGGTGAGAAACCTCGTCAATTTGGGCCATACCAGGTATCCCTCGTGCCCCCTCATACCAACGGACCTCTCAATGCCAGTCGCCCATTGAGGCTCAAGCCCTTGCTTCCCAAGCCATTCTCAGCTCCTACGTCCTCTAAGGAACTCCCTCCACTGGCTTCCATAGCACAGATCATCTCCTCTGTGTCCGTCGCTCCTGCTCTGCTGAAGAGGGAGAGTGCTCCCAGCAGCCCTGGAGGTGGGCCAGAACTGGTGCCAGAGAAGGGCACTGGGCTCCAAAAAAATCCAGAGCCACCCAGTAAGCAACAGGCCGAGGGAGAAGGTGGTGCCAGTAATGACTCCGTAGATGAATCCTCCCCAGAAATCTCCAAGAAGAGAGGCAAAGCAAGGCCCAGTGATGGCAGTGGCGACCATCACACCACAGAACCTGGCGACATCGATCTGGAGTCCAGCGGAGAGTTTGCCAGCGTCGAGAAGATCCTGGCCACCACCAACGCCAACAAGTTCAGTCCATATCTGCAGCCCGATGCAGCAACAGCAGAGGCCCCCTTGAAGGATGAGGCAAAGAGGCCTTCCACCAGTGAGGACGAGAAGGACAGCCAGGACGACAAGCAGCGGCCACGGCCTCAGACCAAGGGCAAGAAGAATGCGTACTCCAACTCCCTACAGAAGATGACCTGTTCCTACTGCCCACGTGTTTTCCCTTGGGCAAGCTCCCTCCAGAGACACATGCTCACACACACAGGTGAGTTATCCACTCCTACAAAGCACAGTGTCTGGCCCAATCCCAAACCGGTCCCTACACACTCCGCCTCACCACTCCGCCTTCGTTTGCGCGTTCCCGAGACCCGTCGCCATGTTGAAGTGTGTCTCAAAGCAGCAAGGGCTAAGGGGGAGTGGTCGATTATGCCCTCCTTTAGCGAGTCGGCAACGATGGTGGCTCGCGCGATTTCACTACCACTTCCATATCCCATAATTCCTAGCGCACAGGAAACAGAACAGCGCGATAATTTAATAATTGGATTCTAACAGCACAGTGAAATACACATAGAAAGTCTATGTTACATGTTATAATTCATCGCTGCAGAAAAAAAATTAGGAAAGCAGTTATTTATAACTGGTCAGTACAGGTAGATTTTATCGTGATCCGATTACGAGAGATTTTGTGTACTTTTCAAACTAGAAACCACACGAAGAAACATTTGTACGCAAACTCGATCAACATCACACCAGCAATAACAATTTATGTTTCATATTTGCCTGTTTTTTCCTCTACATATCTGGATCTGGTATTTGGTACAGAAGTAATGTTTTATGCGTGTAAACTAAGTTAGCTATGGTAGAAATTGTACAATCGTCAATATGACACATGTACATACTTAAAATTGCTCAGTGCAATAAGACGACGTAGCCGTCGTCTTCTCGCATTAGATAAACTGTGCTTTTTTAAAATAACTGATATGTCATTAAAGAAAATACAATACAGCTTCTTGATGGATCCATTTCGTCAAATCACTACGTAATGCATTTACTCTTTCCGGTAATGAAGACTGTAAAAAGGCGCTGCGAGGGCAAGTCTGTCTCAAATCTTTCTTGTGACAATTTCCTTCAGTTTAAGTGTATAGGGCGTGTTGTGAGGGTGACTCGGCGGGAGTGTGACTCGAAATGAAGGCGGAGTGTCGAGGGTATAGTTTGGGATTGGGCCTCTGATACCCATCTACGTTTCCTGTCCATCACGCAAATGCTCATCTCTGTTGAAATTTGCTTTTAGGTTATACACCAAAATAGTAGAAGCAACATTTTTTTCCTAACTAAATTTGTAATCGTAAAAGGATCATGTTTCAGCCCTGATTTTTCAACTCTGTTACAAAAAAGGAGAAAAGATGACAACCTTGTCTTGTGATCACTTGAAACAGGAAGTGTGAAAAGGCTTTGAGGCCGGGCAGAAGGGTTTCTCGGTCTCCCGAGAATGTAAGTTGTGCTTGCGGTGCCCTAACAGTCGACAAATAACCCTGGTTGCTGCAGTTGTTTTTGTCTTATATTTAAATTTCTCTGCTTGAGTAGCACAAGATGTGCAATTTGTTCTCTGGTGGTTTTGAAGATGGAATCCAAGGTCAAAAATCACCTTTCTACTCAACCCATGACCATACACTGTCTGGATTATTAATATAGCACCTCTTATGTTTACTCTGTTTTGAGAGTGATGGTGGCTGTTTGGAATCTCAGAAATGTCCACAAATGGTTACATTGTTTAATTTTTTTTTGGAGGAGGGCATCTCCATGCCTTTTACCCAGGATTGTCAACAGCGCAAAGCAGTGAAAACTTGTGCTGGTATTCTCAAGTATTGCGTGCACATTAAGAATGCTGGGATGGAAAGAAAACAGTAGGTTTATTTTTATACTCGCACCAGACCACAGTGCGTGTGTGTATGTTGTGTTTGTATGCTACTGATCCAGTGGAGCTGGCAGCAATCACTGCGATTGTTTGGTAAAAGGCGTGCACAGGAAATGACATATGGGGGAATGGACTTTACCCTCTGGCTTGCTCCGGGCCTCACTCAGGTGCTGAGGAATGGCGGTGGGCGGGACATATAGCGCCAGTGGCGGAAGCGTGGCAGGAAATATGAATGGCAGCAGCCACGGAAGGCATGTAGCTTGATGGATTAGGGTAGCACAACAGAGATGGGCTTTTGGTGGTTAGGACAGTTCCTCGTTTACGGAAGTGAAAGTGACATAGCATCTCGTTTACCAGTACCGTCCTTCAGGGCTGTCATTTCCCTCCCAGACCTGTTCTTGATACTTTTTCATGCATTGTTCTGTGTCGTGTTTGTCTGGTCCTGCCACCTCTAGTTTTTTCGACCCAGCTCTTCTACAATCTGATTGATTATCGCTTTGGACCAATAATTTTTTTTGTTCTCCCCTGAGAACGATTTTTGTGCAAGTAAAACTCCCATGAGCCAAAGTATATTCTTGCTCCATTTTATTGCCATTTATATTTTAATACATGGAGCTTATCCAGAGACTCTATGCCTGATGTCTGGACCAGTGAACTTGTAGTGGGAGATGAATAGAAGCATCTCATTGGCTCACACTCGCAGGTCAGAAGCCATTCCCCTGTCCTGAATGCGACGCCCTGTTCTCCACCAAGTCCAATTGTGAGCGGCACCTGCTCCGCAAGCACGGTGTAGCCAACCGGGCGCAGACGCAGCACAATGGCACCGCGTCCAAGCCCAAGGCATGCGAGGGCTCGCCAGAGAGTGCAGGTATGACCACCCACTGAATGCACCCCCTCCCCACCCAGAAGGGCTCGTCTTTGTGCCTCTTGTTGTGAAAATGACCGTTGGCATGCTGATTCACACTCATTAGGTAACCTGCTGGGCTAGCTCCATGCTAGGTCTCACTCTTCTCTGCTGCCCTCTAGAGGGCATTTATCACCACTGGAACAATCAACATACCTGTTTTACAGTTTTAACAATAAATTATAAACAACATAACATAACATATAAATGACTCTGGTCATGTAGGCTGTGTAGGGTATGATTTAATTAGTGCATGCCTGACACCAGGTGAAGCCACATACGTCGGTTTTACTTAAAAATATTTATAGCTGGACCTGCAGTTATGAAAATAAACCTGTTCATTGACATTTTACATTTTATTTACAAGTAATGCAGATAATACAAGTTAAGTTAAAACTCCTGTAAATGAACATTTTCGATGTGCAATTCTATGAGTGAAATTGTGACCCCGTGAAGATTAGCTGCGGGGGCCCACACTAACTGTGCGTCTGTGTTTCAGAGAGCATGTCGGACTCAGACCCTGCTGCCGGGGAAGCACTTGACCTGAGTGGCACTGAGCCCAATAAGGGGATAGCTGGGTCCAAAAGGCCTGTAGCTGAAGAACAAAAACCAGAACCCACTGCTGTAGACCGACCTGTCCACCAGGGGGCACTAGAGCACAATGGAGGGTGTGCAGAGCCACAGTGCGGTGAGAACCACCCTAATGAGAAGGATGACGACTCACAGAGTAACAAGAGCTTGGACTTGAACTTTGCCAGGAAGCTAATGGACTTCAAGTTTTCTGAAGAAGAGCAGCAGCATCACCCACCACTGCCAGGAGGAGGCAGTGCAGGCCTGGAGAGCTGCAACCAGGAAGAATCAAAGCACACGTGCGGCAACTGCGGGAAGAGTTTCCGGCACGCTGCTACCCTGGTCCGCCACCAGAGGGTGCACGCTTCAGAGGGCCAGGAGGAGGACAGCAGGAAGGTGGTGCAACGAGTGGCAGAAGGCAGTCAGGACCCCGGCACTAGTGCAGAGGAGCAGCTCGACAAGGAGAGGAAGGAGAGCGAGGGAATGGGGAGTGTCGGCGACAGCGGCTCCGAGGAAGAGGAGAAAGAGAAGGACGACAGGAGTGACGAGGACGGCGGGGCCACAGAACCAAAGAGCAGTGAGGGGGAGCCTGGAAACAAAGCCGACAAGAGAAAGAAGGTGTGCAGTGTGTGCAATAAGCGCTTCTGGTCACTGCAGGACCTGACAAGGCACATGCGCTCCCACACAGGTGAGGCTCCGCCCTGTCATTGTGTTTAGGGGGGTACATGTGGTCTTATCTGCTAACCTCGCACATACAAGCAGAGGTATACCATACATGCCTCCTCTAGGGACTGAGAGGCTCCCTTCCATCTGCCACCCATCCTAACCCACCATCACCCCTCTGTCGTCACAGGCGAGCGGCCTTACAAATGCCAGACGTGCGAGCGTACTTTCACGCTGAAGCACAGCTTGGTGAGGCACCAGCGGATACACCAGAAGCCCCGGGGTGAGGAGGCACAGGGCGGTGGTGGTGGGATTGCTGGGGGTACGGCCGGCGAGGAGGAGGGTGCCAGTGGGCGTTCAGGCAGCGAGAGCGAGTCCACACTGGGCAGCACCAACCCCTCCTCAGAGAATGAAAGCGAAGGGGTGGGGCCAGCACAGCCTGTGGGGCGGGTGCAGCAGGGGGCCCTCAGGGAGGAGCAGGCAAAGCCGGGACATCCCCAGGAACTGATGGACCAGGCCACCGAACCTTTAGAGGAACAGTCCGAAGATGCCCCAGGTAGCACAACAGCGCCCTCAGGAGACTACATCGAGGACCTGCTGGAGCGCCCCGACAAGCTAACGTCCCTGGAGCACATGTTGCCCCCCGGAGAACCCTCTATGTTGGAGGTGGAGTGACAGGAACCCATGTGAGAACCCGTGCCATGCAACAAATGCCTTCGAATGCAACGAACTGTACTAAACAGAAACAAAGCAAAAACACTTCCTGATTCTTAGTGCCTTACTACTACTTTTATTACTTTTATATATATATATATATATATATATATATATATATATATATATATATATATATATATATATATCTCAAGATATATTTGATGAGCGGCGTAATTTTACGTAGCATTTTTATAATTTTTTTTGTCACAACTTTGATTACGAAATTTAAGCATTAAACAATCGAGTGCATCTTCTTTAGGTGACAAAATTTAAATGAGTACCATGGCGGTGCTTGTGTTAAGCAGGAGCCTGTGAGTTCCTGCCGTATGGGGACACTAAGGCTTGAATATGATCACTTAACTGGAAGAATGGAACAGTCACATGGTCTCGGTGGACTTCCTGTTCCCCTCCCCACTTAATCCTCAGCGAACGTTTTGGAGTCGAGACAAAGATGTTTTAATTTCTTGTGAGACTGAATAACTGTGCTGGGTTATTAGACACTTAAAGACACCCAGGAGAGCTGATCGTTATTTTAAGGTGTAACTGAAAGCTTCATTCTTTTAAACTAGGTGCTCATTCTAATGACTCTTCTTTTAGTAGACACATGGGCAATGCTTGTCTTGAGTTATTTTATTTCATCTTTTCCATCTCACATCTGCACACTAGATCTTCCAGCTATACTGACATCTGGTGTGCTTGAAAATGACATCGCTCATGAGCTGAGTGGGCGGGGCCTGACTGGCCTGTTTTCCCATGCGTGGCCCCAAATGTTCGGCAGAACGTCCTGCTTGTCCTCCTGAACCGCTGAGTAACGTTCCAATGATCTCCAAGATGTCTTCCCAACTCCCTTCCAATCAAAACACCTTACACAGGAATTTTGGGATCACCAACACGGTGTCCTAAACCCTGTATGTGTGAGATGGCACCACCCAGAAAATTCCCTCTGTACTTGAACGTTGTTCCCTGCTGTCCTTGTTCTGGGGGTGGTGTTACACACCCCTTGGCCCTTTTGGGCCTCCGCTAGGAGGATTCTGACCAGCATCATAATCAGCTCAGAGGCTAGATTTTGTTTATAATTATCTTTTTGACGTATGTATTTTTTTTTCCAAAGGAACCTCAGAAACAAAACGAACCTCAAGGTGCAAATCCGCTAGAGTAGAACAGACGTTCCCAAGTCAGTAAACAGAGAACGTTTTTTCCACATCAGCCAGCACTGTGTACCCAGTTTTGAAAATCTCGAATCTGGCAATAACCAAAATAACCACGAGTGCAAAGTGGAAAGCAGGCGAGAGAGAAATAAATAGTTTGCAAAATGAGATGTTTAGAATGAACAATGTGTGGTTCTAGATCTGGTGATGGGAAAGCTTTCTCCTGATTGGTCCGTCTCAATTAAAACCCCACTTCCTGTTGCCGCCTTTATTGGAAACATCCAATGAGCAGCCGAAACAACACAGGGTCGAGGTATGTATGTACTCTACCCTATTCCGCCCATGCAGGAAGTGCGAGTCTGCAGAGTCTTGTCCAATCACTGAGTGTGGAATTTTAGCATAAAAAATTTCCACCTATCCCATCACCTGCTCTGTGGAGTATGTTTCTATGCAGATAAGGATTACAGTAAAGCAGCTGATGCTGATTTTAATATTTATTGAGGACCCAGAGTGTGGTAAGAGGTTATTTGAGAAGCCATTGATCACATTTATGCCACAGAGAAAAACAGTAGTCTCCCAGTGACAACCTGAGACTCGTCTTAGCAATAATCACTATTGATTCTAAAGCTTTATTTAGACATTAATCTATGTTTGTAGGAAGTGTGGTCTGTTTGGTTAATATTAGTTTGACAATTACATGAATATAAATATATATAAAAAACTGTGAAAAGTATGTGTTCAGTAATGGGTGACTCATAGGCTAGTTTTGCATGATAATCTAATTTCTTTTTCTTTTAATCATTTTTTTCCTTTCTCAGGGCTTTTACAGATTATGCATATTCAATATTTTCTCTAGTAAAGATGTCTTCCAATTTGTGATTTTTATAAATAAAAATTTCAATCACTACATTCAGCACTTGACTGTGAATTCAGAGAGAGGAACAGAAGCTGGAGTACTCACTCAGCCAAGAGCGCCCCCTAGTGTCTTGCCTCATTTATGTCTAGCACCGTTTTCATGACTATGGCACAGTGACTTTTTGCCTATTTTCTTCCCCTTGGCTTTTGAGAGAGTGAGGAGGGACGAATGAGCGCAGTGTCGACCAATGGGATGGCTCGTTGTATCACTGTTGAAGTACTGACTGTATGACCGCTAAAGGGATCTCCAAATTGCTGCTATTTCACACCGGACAGGTTCTGTGTCTGCCCGGTCAGCACCAGCTGACCGCTGGCACCCCAGTGCTCCTCCGTATCACGTTGTACGGTGCTTCCGTTTCAGAGTAAGCTGTTCTGTATTGGAATCATTAAACCGAAAATAAAACATTAAAAAAAGGATGTTAAAACACAAGGCTTGTTCATTTCTGTGCGACTAATGGCTCTCTACAGTGTTTCTTATTCCAGTCCTTGGGGATCCCCAGACAGTGCACATTTTTCTCCCAGCTCCTAGCCAATCAAGAACACCGAATACCTGGTAAAGGTGTGTGGGGAGTTGGAAGGGAGCAAAAATGTGGACTCCTGGGGATCCCTGTGGACTAGGTGGAAAAACATTGCTCTACACCAGTATTTCCCATCCCAGTCCTCGGGGGAACCCCAGAAAATCCTCGTTTTTTGCGCCCTCCCAGTTCCCAGCCAATCAGGAACACCTGGCACAAGTGCACTGGGAGCTGAGAGGAAGCAAAAACATGGACTGTCCGGGGTTCCCCGAGGACTGGGTAGGGAAACACTGCTCTACACCAGTATTTCCCATCCCAGTCCTCGGGGGAACCCCAGAAAATCCTCGTTTTTTGCGCCCTCCCAGTTCCCAGCCAATCAAGAACACCTGGCACAAATGCGCTGGGAGCTGAGAGGAAGCAAAAACATGGACTGTCCGGGGTTCCCCGAGGACTGGGTAGGGAAACACTGCTCTACACCAGCATTTCCCATCCCCGTCCTCGGGGAACCCCAGAAAATCCTCGTTTTTTGCTCCCTCCCGGTTTCCAGCCAATCAAGAACACCTGGCACAAGTGCGCTGGGAGCTGAGGAAGCAAAAACATGGACTGTCCGGGGTTCCCCGAGGACTGGGTAGGGAAACACTGCTCTGCACCAGTAGTTCTCAATCCTGTTCCTGACCCCCCCCCCCCCCCCCCCCCCCCCCCTCTCCAAATGTGGCTGGCTGAAAGCAGTGTGGTTTGAAATGAACACATTCTAGGAGAGGGCGCCAGAAACAGGACTGAGAACTACTGCTCTATGCAAACCACCAGCACCTCCTTGCACTCTCACAGCAGGCCTCCGATGGTGCCCTCACACAAACCAGCAGCTCACCATCAGTACTAATCAAGTGTGTTGAGTCCATTATTCAAGCTTTTAGCTTCTCAGGTCTTTCCTTTGAGCTCAGGAATTTAGCAGACCTAATTTGAGATTCATCTCCCCATTGGAGTAAGCATCCACAGGTCCTGCTACATTGATCTGAGGGTGCAGAATGCCAAATCAACGGCAAGGAAAAATACCCACAGGACTCCCTGAGCCACTCTACTCAGTCCTGAAGGGCAATCAAGGTCAAGTGCAGATTAGATTTGTCACCTGGGAGAAACCCAAGCAAATACGAGATGCACTCTGTACTTGCAGGACCCTTGTAGGGCAGCACAGCAAAGATTTATGAGAAACATCTGGCTTCAAATTTAGACCATACGTTCAATTCCAACTTACTGCATTGTGGTGTGGTGTGTGGGTCTACAAGTTAGGCAGCTGTGTTCATGATCAGAAGGTCACTGGTTCAAATCCCATGGTTGCTATAGTAATGTCAGCAGAGGCCATTAACCTCAACTACACCAGGGACTAGCTGCTGGAGATTTGTCCAAAATGAAGTGGGGATCATAAAAAATGAAAGGTCAATATTCTAGAAAATAACCAAACCAGTCCAGGCCCATCATATACTGCAAAACCATTTTATTTCACCAAAAAGTTTGTCATTTCTAGACATCTTCAGTTAAGTGGTCTTTTACGAGAAAGTGGACACATAAAATCAGTCATGAAAGAATCCTCAATGTCAGACATTGTGGCAAAAACATCATTCAACTGGTTTGCAACTGGAAACAATTTTAACTAATCTGCACGCTCACAGCAAAGGCGGCTTGACTGTTTACAAGGGGAGGCTACAGGCTTGTAAAGAAACTAGTGGAGCTGCATTTTTGAGAGCGATGCACCAGCTTAATCGTGAATCAGCAGGAGTCCTACGATCCAACCTTTTAGGACGAAAGGCTGGGCCAGCTTTTCCAAAACCAGCTGGCCACATGACTTCAGGCTGCGGGGTAACTGAACACCTCAATCATTCAGCTTTCAAAAACTGAAGACACGCAATAACAGTTCATTAAAAATACAGACCCAAGCAGCCAGCAGCTGTCAGATTAAACGGTCGTCACGTCACTTTCTGAAATGTGGGGGGGGAAACAAGCCTAAAACCCTGAATTTACACATATCATAGCTGCCTTCTGCGGAAATCTACCGATTAAAGTAAATGCTGACAGAGGAGCTAATTAGAAAAATACACAGGCACATTGACTGAAGAAAAAAAAAACCCAATTAGGCACCCCTGACTGTCAGTACCACCCCATCAGAAATGGCACTCAAAGCAGACCGACGGTGGTGGGGGGGGGTGGGGGGAGAAACCTGTATCAGTGCATGCAGAGTATTTCGTATTTCATTCATGAGATCTCCTGCATTGTGGGAAGAACTTCAGAGACCTGGCTCCCTTTCTTAACCGGCCCTAAATATCAACAGTAGTTTGCCTCAAAAATCTGACACGCTGTGCTCCCCGAACTGACACTTACTTCTTTTAGAGTCAAAATAAAAAGACCATCATAGACAGAAGCAAGCAGGCACATGAATTACTGTTTATCCCCCTTGCTCTGTTGGACAGCACGTTAGACCAACTCCCAACCCCATCAACATTACTTGCATAATGAACTATTAAAGTTTTCATTTTCAAGGCGTAAAACAAGCACATTCTTCAGAGATCATACAGTCCATTAAAAACGAAAAAAAAAAAAAAGCCAATGAGGGGCAAGGTATCATTTGAAGGACATGGCTGGGTGGCCCCTCCCCCTCTGCCCACTGCAGTGTGATTGGATGGGGAGACAGGTGCCTGTCTGAGGCGGCACGCAGTGCAGTCACTCGTCGGAGCCTGCAGACCTCTTCTGGGTTCTCTTCCGAGGTGACCGCCTCGGAGAGGCTTTGTCTGTGGGGAATCCAAACCAAAATGAGCTCCAAGGGCAAGAACACTGCTAATCCTGTTCTATCTGTGTAAAGAACCCATGCAGAGCTCTCCAAGAACTGTCCAATCAGGGATTAGGCAAAGCACACATGTTCTCTTATACATGATCATTCATTTTCAATGCCTGTAACTGCAACGTTTGAAAATGTATCAGGGACGTATACTGCCATATAAAGGCAAAACACAACTGCATGTTTTATTAAAAGGAGTAATGATCAAAATCGATTCTCTTAGGCAGTTTTAGCATCATAAAATCTTAGTTCAACAATGCTTAGTTTTGATCATTTATTTGTCTACTCCACACATGGGTCGACAGTCCAACTTTGAAGGCCCTTTTCTCAGCTTCAGCCCCAGTGAAGTTATTTGGATTTCCCTTAGTAGGGCAGCAGTAGGACTACTGGATCACAACACACAGTACTCTCACCTCTGATGTTCAAGGCAAAGTCACCGCTACTCAAGGCTATTTGGTGTAGACAAATGAGGAAGACAAACTGGAGATTCACCATAGAGAAACCCATCAATACCCTCCTGGTCCTACAGGGGAGGTTCCCTCTTTGCATTTATTCAAGTCTAGACAGCCCGTGTTGTAGGTGTGAGAAAAATTTTCATGGCAAGAAGGCCACACACACACAC